ACTAAAAGGTCTTACGAAGATGGAAAAAAATTGAAAGAAAACATCAGTAAAATCAACAACTAACTAAACATGCCAACAAACACAAACATCATTCAAACAGAAATAGAAAAGAAAAGGAAAACTCACTGTGGAAGCTCAACAACGAACGACCCAGGCCTGAACTGGATTTGACCATTTGAGGTCGAACAGATTTTAATCGAGGTATTCTCAACCGAGAACACTTCGATTAAGGTCTATTAGACCCCAACCCTCCATTAAAACTGGCCGGATTCCCAAAGTTATTGTGTTCTAGGGTTTGAACATTTCGATTCGGGGCTTGAGGGTTTGTGGGTAGATTCGGACCAAACCAAGCTTGGTTTGGTCACGAGTGAAGCCAGGGTATTGACTGGTGGGAAACTGGGGTGGGTTGGTGTAGATCAGGGTTTGGCTCGAATCTTCAAAAGAAGATTCGAGACGGTGTAGGTTGATTCGAACCCAACAGTTTGCAGATCCGTGTTCAGGGTGGTTGGGTGCATCAGGGGTGTTACTTTGGTGGTCACCGGCATCGTTGCCACCGGGTTTACGGTGAGGGGATGGAAGGGCGGCGCTAGGGTTTGAATGGGGGATGTTGGGTCGTGTCTGAGAGAGATGATGGAAGGAGGGTGTTCGGATAGGGGGCGTGGGGTGTGATGAGGGGCTTATATACGGAACGTGGCAATTAATTTGAGCCGTTAGATCAAATGATCTCAACGGCTTGGATTAATTGGTGAGGGACAAGACGGGGTCATTTGGTGTAGAAACGAGGTCGTTTGGTTTTTAATGAGGGGCTGGGTCGACCCAGGTAAGCAGGTCGGGTTACGGGCGCGATCGTGGACCGTTGGATGAGTATGGATGAATGGCTCAGATCAAACGCCCTATGCGGCATCATTTGGGGGCGTCCCTGGAACCTTGGTTTGGACTGGGTCGTTGCAAATTGGTTTGGGCCTGATTTTTTAGTTAAATTTTTGCCCAAATCCGGTCTTTCCTTCTTATAATTAAACCAAAAATTCCTAAAACCCAAAATTAAACTACACAAATATTAATTAATACCTAACAACAATTATCCAACGAATTAAAACATTTAATAAAATTACCCTGACAATAGATAGAATAGAAATGCATATTTTTTGTGATTTTTGCTTCTTTTTTTTAAAAACCAAATAATGGTTAATTAATTCCTAAATGTGCCATTTTCCTAAATGCATGCAACATGTATTTGTGTATTTTTCTAACTATAGCAAGGCGAGCATTTACGGATAAAACAATTATCAAAAATGTCACACAAATCCTCAAAATTGTACCCGAAGGTAACTTATTTTATTTATTTTCCGATTTCTTTTGGAGTAGTTTCCGTGAAGCAAAAATCACGTGCTCACACCCACACACTTCCAAAATTCCACCAGAATCTCATCAGGCCTAGTCGCTCTGCCCCTACTCATCTTACTCATAGCTCTCACAACCTCCTCAACTTTGATGCGCCTGCAGTACCCAAAGTCACGATGACTATTGGAATGCTCTAATTCACCTAGCACAATATCCTGATCCCCTTCTTTATTCCGAAGTTTATGAAAGTAAGTCTGCCATCTTCTCTTAATCTGGGAATCTTCCATCAATGCTCTACCATCGTCGTTCTTGATGCATCTCACTTGTTCCAAATCCCGAGCCTTCCTCTCTCTCAACTTGTCGAACTTGAATAACTTCTTCTCCCTACCTTTTCCCCCCAGTTCTTCGTACATACGACCATAAGCCACAATCTTAGCCTCCATGACCACCAGCTTAGCTTCCTTCCTAGCTACCTTATACCTCTCCATGCATGCTCGCCTCTCCTCCTCACCTATGCACCCACTAACTTCAGGTACACTGCCTTCTTCGCTTGCACTTTACCTCGGACCACTTCATTCCACCACCAGTCTCTTTTGTGCCCGCTTGTGACGCCCCTCGAGACCCCTAACACCTCTCTCGCAGCCTCCCTTATACAATCTGTTATCGTTGACCACATAGTGTTCGCGTCACCACTGCTCCTCTAAGCTCTCATAGCCGACAACCGCCCCTCCAACTCTTGGGCTTTATACTTAGTTAAGGCTCCACCCTGATTCTCGGTCTTCCTCGAGCAGACCTTTTCCTCCTCTTTAACATAATAACAACGTCCTACACCAAGAGCCTATGTTGCGTCGGGAGTGTCTCACCTGGAATCACCTTGAAATCCTTGTGCAACCCTCTGTCACACCTCCTAAGGAGGAGATAGTCAATCTGAGTCTTCACCACTGCATTTTGAAAAGTAACCAAATGCTCCTCCCTCTTCGGAAAGGTAAAGTTCGCAATTACCAACCCAAAAGCCTTAGCAAAGTCCAACAACGAGGTACCTCCTCCGTTCCTCTCCCCAAAACTGAAGCCTCGCCATAACCACCTGCGGTCGACCCAATATGACCACTGAAATCCCCTCCTATGAATAACTTCTCAGCAGGCAGAACCTGGCATACAATCTCATCTAACCCCTCCCAGAAATGTTGTTTAACCTCTTGATCTAGGCCCGCATGTGGTGCATAGGCTCTAACGACCACTCTCCAACCACCAATTTAATAATTATCAATCTATCATTCACTCATCTAACCTCAACCACAGACTCTCTAAGTTCTCTATCCACCAAGATACCCACTCTATTCTTACCCTTCTGGACTCTTGAGTACCAAAGTTTATACCCGCCACGTCCCTCGCCCTCGACCCTACCCACCTTGTCTCTTGAACATACGCTATATTGACCTCATCTTCTGGAGGATTTTCGCCAACTCTATGACTTACCCGTCAATGTACCTACATTCCATGGCCCAATTGTAAACCAATGGACACCCTTGTTCCCTTTACCTCTCTTGCCTCCCGACCAGCCCCTACCCCTGTCCTATATCCCAGTCTACCCCCGCTCCCCCTTGAGGACATGACCTCACCCGAACATCCCAGACCACAACCACTATACCTACAGTAGACTAAGGGGAATCACTAACACACACAAGGCAACAGAAAAAACTAGAAGAAGACAAATTATAACTACAGGCTCACTAATACAGTGAATAAACTAATATGGACTAAGACGACAACAATTTAAGTAAGTATAAACTAAAGACTCTGGATCAGCAAGATATGTGAAACTAAATATCCTAGACAGTGCTAATAGGTCCGAAAGCAAATACAAAGGATCTAAACAATACCGGTGAATCAAAAAATTAAATAATCTAAGCAAATAAACCACGGCTATATCATAATACTAGTATAGAACACACTACGAACAATGAAATAAATTTAAACAAATTATGTGTAAGACAAAGTGTAATGAGACAGGAACGTAAAACCTGGTACCGTCGACGAAGACGGTGGGGCCGGAGGTGGTCGTCGAAGAACTAGCCGGAGTTGTTGGGTAATGAATCACCTGGCTTGAAGACAGGTCTGGTTTGCGTGTGACCACGGCGTCGCAAATAGGCCTGAAACATGACTGTGGTTGTTCTCACTCGTCTGTGACTGGTCTGTCTCTGCTAGAGTCTGTTGTCTTGTTCACTATGGAGTGAAAGAGCGCACCCCCACGTGCACATGGGTCTAGTCAAGTGAAACGGGGGGGAGGACTACCAGCAGAGTGTAAAAGAATAGAGACGTTGTCGGCGTCTCGCCGGCAGTGAGAGGGGGAGAAGACAAGACGGAAAAGAGGAGAGGTGGGGTGAGAAAGATGGGGAAAGAGAGAGAGGAGGGGTGTGGGATGATGGGGAGGAGAGAGGAGAGAGGGGACTTACGTGGGCGGAGGGTGGTCGCCGGCGGCTGAATTGGTCGCTGGTTTTATTACCGTTTTGTTACCGTTACGGGAAGGGAACAAGAGCTTTAGTATAGTAGACAAGTAAAATTGAACGAAGGGGTCAGATGGAGTAAATATATAAGCATAGGGTAAGATTGCCTATGGTATGAGGTTGTTTATGAAGACAAAATGGGACAATTCTTGGCCAATTTTGGCACCTTAAACGTTTACTTGTCCTTCTTTAATTGGTCAATACATACTCTATAAGATTTAACTACTTATAAACTTGAAATAGGATGAATTAAAATTGAAAACCGTTCGGTAATTAAAGGAGTCAACAGATCACTTTATATTAACGTAGCCGTTATCTTTGCTTCTCGATCTACACTCAAATACCATATTTCCAAATTCCATTGTGTTTGCATTTCTAATTTTGGTGGTCATTTGGTCACCTACCGAAACGGAAAATATTTCCTTGTGCTTTGCTTCTAGAACTTTATGTGTTGCACAGGATCAGACATCAAATTGACTTTGTCCTCATAACCCTAGCGGATGTATGCACTTTTAACAAAGTTGTAATTACATGATTACTCAAATGATTGCGTCCTAATATATAACTCCAATCTTCTCTGCTTCATCAAGCTTAATAAACAAAAAGAAAAAGGAAAACATAAAATTAGGTGTGAAGTATTCTCTATACAAGATTAGTATATGGTACGCGACTCTCTATAGGTATATAAACGTTAAGGCTACAGAGTTATCAAACCAAAATGTTAAAGTAAATAATAGAAGCATTAGAAATTAAACCTAGAGCAAATCTAGGACTTTGCATATAAATTACAAGATAAATATTCAGGCCGAGCCTATCTTAATGATCAAGGTAAACTTAACAAACAAAATTAAAATATAACTATATTTGCCTTGATTTTTGAAGTTGGCAAAGTTATATTCTACGTATTAGCTACACGATTTGTTTACTTTGCCAAGACTTGTAACATTATGTGTCAATGATTTTCAAATGGACGGTCAATAAGATTTATTGGACATACATTTCCAAAATTTTTTAGGTACAGGCCATATACACTTCCAATAATTTTTTTTAAAAAGTCCTAGTGTATATTTAATGGTTCGGCGATGAGAAAGACAAGAAGAAAAAACCCTTATATTCTCTCCTGGCATTCATCTTCTAGCCATACCCTTACTTTTCTGACTGCTCCTTAAAACATGTTTATCCTCTCTCATTTATTATATTAATCTTTGTTATTCCCCGCCCCCCCTGCTCTCTCTCTCTCTCTCTACGCACAAAAGTAAATTACACTCAAGACAGGAATAGAAGAAGAGGAATTAGCTTAATTAAAACCAACTTAGTTGCTAGTGAAAGAAAATCAAGAAATGGGAAGAGCTCCTTGCTGTGACAAAAACAACGTGAAGAGAGGGCCATGGTCACCTGAAGAAGATGCTAAGTTGAAGTCATATATTGAGCAGAATGGGACAGGTGGCAACTGGATTGCTTTGCCTCCAAAAATTGGTATGGAAAATCCCAAATCTCATCTTTTCTTTCTTAATGAAAAATAATTTAGTACAAAATCTTATTATAGCATGGTCATGTTGTTTTTTCTAAAACTTTTAGGGCTTAATAGATGTGGAAAGAGCTGTAGGCTTAGATGGTTAAATTATCTGCGTCCAAATATTAAGCATGGAGGGTTCTCAGAAGAAGAAGATAGAATCATTTGCAGCCTCTACATAAGTATTGGAAGCAGGTAGTATATAGCCAGCCCTTATTTTCTTTGATTATGTTCTCTCTCCCCTCCTTCATGTTTTTGGTTAACCACTCCCTTTTACTAGCAACACTAGCTGGTAGCTCATATAAAATAATCTAAGTAGAGTTGAAATTAGAAATCCTAATAAGGAGATTCAAAAAGTACAACAATGTCATGATATCTGAATTTGTGACCGAAAACAATTTTTGAATAATCGTTACACCAAACTAAAAGCTTCCCTTATGTCATGGAGATTCAAAAAATTTATACGTACGCAAAAAGAATTGTTAGTTGTTCAGTATAATTTTCTGACGAAAGAGACTCAATTGAACCCCATTTACCCGTTGCTTTGTTAGAATCTAAGTATAATTTCTAAATCTCATGAGGGGTATATCAGGTGGTCGATAATTGCAGCACAACTCCCGGGAAGAACCGATAATGATATCAAGAATTACTGGAACACTAGGCTGAAGAAGAAGCTATTTGGAAAACAGCGCCAAAAGCAAGGATCAAGAAAAGGAAAAGAAATCAACTCCAATATGGTAATTTCCAATAACAATAACAACAACCAATTTCCATGTTGGCCTGAGATTCCCATCTTGCAGCCAATACCATATTCAAACGATGAACCAAGATTTAATGATCATTCTTCCATAAAAAAACTGTTGATAAAACTTGGAGGTAAATTTTCAGACGAAGATCAAACGATAAATGAAGCAACAAATCCTCAATATCCTATGGATAATTCATTATTGATGCAGTCGATATATCAGAACAGTCCTATCAATTTGATCTCTTCTGCGCCAATAGATAATGTCTTGGCAAATGCTCAATACAATATGGATAGGGCAGCTAGCAGTTTTACAGCTGAGCTTGAGCATATGATTCTAAATAATCAACAAAAATTAGATGGTCTCGAAATATTATATGATCAGGATATGCTTATTGATATATCTGCTTCTACTTCTGGAGGAAATTTGGACTGGGAAGCGATGAATCCTTTTGTTCTTCCTCTTCCTCCTATTGTTGATAAAGGTTTTCAACAAGGCGTTATAATCCAAAAGAGTGCATTTGATGAGCTGAGATACCCTATGGCACAATGATATTTACATATGGTATATTTTTATTTGATATTGTAATTTATATGTAGTTATGGAAGAAGGGCAGATGATTTATTTTCGTCGGAGAACCCTAATAAACTTGTTTATTACTACATCTTTGCATCTCTCTGATTTTGTTTTTGAGGACTAATAATAGCCACTGGCATGTCCAACTTTTTGATTATCTTTTATATTCAACTTTATTGTCTGATATATCTTGCGGAATTTTGAGTTTGAATGCTCATATATTAATGTTAATGCTGGAGCTTTTTCGGTGTTTGTTTTCTTGAATTTGTTTCTTCTTCAGATTGATGTTGCACAGTTAAATATATACATACAGCCATGGAAAATTTATATTTGCCTTCGTTTATGAATTCTCAGAGGATATCAGTCACATATTCCTTGGGAAGCTAAAATATTCCTTGTGTAACAAGTTCCTGTCCCTTTGGCCGTAATTAACTTGCTGGTTTTTAGCGAACAAGGTACTTTGCAACTGCAAAAATTTAATGCCATCTTCAACAGGGGCGGAGAATTACAAGTTTGGCCGAACTCGTTAACTTTGATCCAAAATAAAAACAGTAATATCTCAATCCTGTAAGCTTCAAATATTCCTAGCTCCGCCTTTGATCTTCAATGTCGGAAATGGGATCGCCAAAATCAAGACTGGTGGAAAGTAATTTCGCGCCATATCATGCACAACTAATGGAAATGTAGAATGAGCCTATCCAGAATAAGTTAATGTATTGATGACTGGTTGATTGAAATAGCTAGAAAATCTGGATTTTTGCTTCTAACATTTTTTATACTAATAGTAAGTGATCATTTCTATTTCTTTGAGATTCTCTCAATAATATAATGGGATTGCAGCACTAATGTTAATGATCCTAGGTCTATAAAAATGGATGGTGTCGTGTTTTCTGTAAGGTTTATGACATTATTTCTCGTATGGCATTATTAAGCAGACTCCCAAATTGAAACCCTAGAAGGACAGGTTGATATGATGTAATATTATTTTAAGTTGAATAACATGGATTCCAGAAAACGAAAAGAAAGGCATCCTATGTGTTTAACGGACATTCTACACTGTATTACTAATTACAATGATTCCACACTTAAGAATTCTGTTGACTGGTTCATCTTTTTCAGAATAGTTTGCAATCAACATTTAGAGTAATCTAACTCAATCCACTCAAAGATATAACATGTGTTAAAGGTTTATATCGATATCACCAACGACGTTAGTTTTTCTTAATGGTTCTAAAAAAAATTCTCTTATGAGTAAAAATAAAATGCACGTTACTTTATTCATCATCGGAGATTTGGGAGAAAGATAAAGAAGCGTTTACATTTTATCAGCAGACATATAACAAATGTAGCCACAATATTTCTGATGATGCGCTATAATTACGTATTTTAGTCGCTTATTGCACTCTAAATTACTGCACTTTAATTGAGTTTGAACTTTAATCGCTAGTGTTTTGCACTAATTGTGTATTTTATGCCTTGTAGGAGTGACTTCGAGCTATGTAGATATTATGGAATGAATTCAAGTGAATTGGAACTTTGAAGTCTGAGTAAAAGCACAAGGAATCAAGCCGGGATCGTTTTCGGGGATCAACAGATGATAGTTAAGAACAAAACAGAGAATCGAGCGGGCATACGACGCATTATCTAGTAAAATGCGCATAACTTTTCGCTCATAATTCCCTTTGGGTTCCACAATATATCGTTTGAAATCTATTTAAAAGAGCTACAACTTTCGTGTTTTACGTTTTTCCGAATTACCATTACCGCGGAGCATGGAGCGGCGCGAGGCGCGCCGCGCCTGTGGAAATTTCCTGCAGCCTGTCAGAATCAGCTCTCTGAACTTCCCCAAAAGAGCACCGTGTGGCGCATCGCCCCATGCGGTGCGCCTGTGCAAATGTTATAGAGACAGAGTCCTATTTCTGGCAGAAAAAGGAACAAACTTGAGCGAAAAAGGATCAAATGGGAGCAAAATTGGTGAAAAAAGAGCTGAAGAGTGTCACACCTCCTTTTTGCGCGCCCGCCCCGAAGGGTAAAATGCGCGAGGGAGTTTTTCCAATTCAAGTGACAATATTCGAAATGAGATTATTTATTTAATTCAGAGTCGCCACTTGGGAAAGGTTTGGCTTTTGGTGTCCCAAGTCACCGGTTTATCTTGAATCCCAAATCGAGGAAAATATTCGACTTTCCAAATGAAGTCTGCGAACCAGAAATTCTAAGTAAGGAATTCTGTTGACCCGAGGGAAGGTGTTAGGCACCCTCGAATCCCGTGGTTCTAGCACGGTCGCTTAAATTGTTATAATGGCTAAATATCTGATTTAAAAACATGTTGTGACTTATGTGCTTTTATTAAGTTTAAACCGCTTTTATTATTATCATTTATTTTTATAGAATTGCAACGTCGTGAAAATGCATCTCGAACCACGTCACAATCAATGCACCCGTGGTTGTTAATACATTCCGACTCCGTTGAGATTTGAATTTGGGTCACATAAATGCGCACCTGAATTTAAGAATGTAATTTAATTAAGTCGCGCCTAAAGAGTCTAACGCGTTATTATCTTTGGGGAAGGCAGTGAAATTCACTAAACAGTCCATCCCAAATTCTAAATATTTTATTATGACCAATTATTGAGGGCCCTGCAATTTGCATCCTTTATTTGGCGAGGCTCTTCTCATTTTTGAAAGGATAAACCTACAGTGACTACATTTTCTATTATGTTAGTCTCTAAATAAGAAAAGGTCCTACTTAATTGCATGTTTGAAAAGGGTGTAACTTCTTAGTCATTAGATTAAGACGAACGTAAACGTAAAATCTGCGCTCAAATATGTACAAAAGATAGTCAGTCACAAACCTTAACCCCAGCCCAAATAGAATTCTAGTTTACAGGAAATGAAGATATGCTAAGTAGTTATGTCATTCATTTAGAAATCATCCAGAAAGAGTAGTGCGTGCCTATTCAAATTAACAAATACTGATTATTTATTTTTAGTTGCACACACAAACCTTCCTTCCTAATTATCTACTTATGGGTTTCGTAATGTTATTGAGAGTAAGAAAATGACTAGGAGATCATGTTGAAGTTGGCATTGAGATTTTAACAAAACAAGGTTGACTATTTGCCTGTTTCAATTACCCTTTAATGTTCAGCAGCTAAACGTACAGAAGCTATAAATGTGGAGACAAGTGAATGAATATTGGTTCCCTATTCTAAGTTTAACTACAACATCTAACTATTAAGCATGAATTTAAACTAAGAATCCATTTTCAGTCCATAGTCGGTTACTGATACCAAAAGTTCAAAGCAAAACCCACTTCCTAACAAACTAAATATTGAACAACTACAAATCAGTTGAATGTCCATAACTACNACTGTAATTACAGCAGCAAATGATTAAACTCATACGCATCTTTCATTTCATGCTTTTAACTATTACATCAATGTGAAATTCTAGTGTGTACCTGGATGTTGAAACACAAAAAGAAGAAGAAGAAGGTAGATAAATCAGCAGCAACAAAAGAATGGCAGCAACAACAAACTATAGTCACAGCAGCAGTAGCAGATTCAAACAAACAACAACACCAATTCCAAACCAGAAACAACACTCCAACAAAGCCCGAGATGTTTTGTAAACCCAACAGCAAAAATCAACACAAAAAAAAACTCAATTGAACTTGAAACAAATCTCTCTTTATACAGAAACAAACTCTCTCTATATCCTTTTCTGGTTTTAAACTCTTGGGTCTCTGCCCAGTTTTCTGATTCTCAACTCTTGGTTCGACCACAAGTCCCCTCTATTTTCTGATTCTTTATGTTGCTGAAAACTAAAGGGAGATAGATTTTCAGAGAGAGGTTTTGATGGCTGAAACTCTTTAGTTTTTTTTTTCAAGGGTCTCTTTCTTTACCATCCTCTTCCTTTTCTGATTCCCCTCCTCCCTTTTATATCCCAGCTCAAACCACTCCAACAGCCTGTTCAAAACCCATCCAGCCTGAACTCCCCCCATGTTCTCCTCCTTTTTTTTCCACTCACAAATTAAAAGAAAAGCCCTTCCCGTGAGATTCCCCTAACAACCCCCTTTTTCATTGTTAAAGTGGTCTATCCTTTATTAAATTAAGCAAGCATGGACAACATGAATATGCCCTGACAGCACATGCTGTCCATTCTACTCTAATTCATTAATAACTGACAATGCACATGCTGCCCAAGGTCAAAAGTAAGTAAACATGCCATCAATTTAAACTAAATTCTGAAATCTATACTAAAACTAACAGCTATAACCAATCCTTAAGTGTTGATTCAACTAAACAGGCTACAAGCAATTGTAATCAATTCTCAACTGATTCAAGTAAGAATTAAACATCATGAGCCAGATTACTACCATTCCAAACTGAAACTAATTGACGACATATATCGAATTGACTACGCGAATTACGACACACACAATTCATAGCAAATGATCAGAATCCAAAAGTATTAATCCAGTGATTCAAATTACACTGCCCAAAACAAAAGTTGCCTTGGAAACTAATTAATCGGCCAAATTCATTTCAATCGATTATATAGTTTAAAACACATACACTCAATTAGTGAATAGAGAAAAATTCGACCAAATAAAAGGTCCGGGCTAGGTGGACAGAAAAGTCGACACAAAAATGAAAACAAATCGAAATGACATTTAAACACATAAACAAACATTAAGCAAAACAAACAACTTGAACTGGCAAGGAAAAGAAGAAGAAAATACCTTAAAGAATTTAAAATCAGATGACCATGTCTCGGATTTTGACTCGAACCTCTTTTGGGGTCGAACGGACTTTGATTAAGGTCTATTAGACCCCAACCTTCTCGTTTAATCGGACAAAACCCTCAGATTCCAGATTTCTAGGGTTCTTGGGCCTGATTTGGGACTTGGGGTTTTCNGGATGCTGGAGTTGAAATTCAGTTTAGAAACTGAATTTAAAAACTGACTTTTTGACTTTAAAACCAAGAAACTGAATTTAAAACCTCCCTAGACTGATTCAAAACTGATCTAAAAATGCTCTCACTCCAACTAGTTCTCTTTTTATGTTCTGCCCTCTTTCTGTCTTTTTAAACTCTTTTTCTTCGAATGTTATATCAAAACTCTCTACTGTTTTATTTAGTCAGTTCTCTTCCCCCTCCTATTTTCTGATTGTCCTCTG